TGGGGATTCCTGGGAATTGAAGTCCACACTTCTTAAAGTCGCCAACGTTGAGAAACACTGGTGTGTAGAACTCGAACCATTGTGAATTTAACTCGAATTTTGCTACAGTAGGCTCCGTTCTCCGCTATGGGTCGTCCTTAAACTGGGCGTTCTTAACCCCAGGGATTACCTGTAATGCATTTACAAGCAGACACTAAATAAAGCAGGAAGCTAGTTTGGTGTAGTGGTTAAAGGTGCTGGACTAGAAACCAGGAGACATGGGGTTCGAATCCTGCCGTGGGTATGAAACCAGCTGGGTGATTTTGGGCCAGTCCCTCTCTCTCAGCCCTAGGAAGAAAGGCAAACCACTTTTAAAAAGTTGCCTAGAAAACTGCATGGACTTGTCCCTGTAATCTTCAGGAATCAAGACTGACTCCAGGACACAAGAAAAATAGGAATATATAAAGCTGCCAGTACTAAACTACTACTAAGGAGAACCACTGTAGTAACTACTAAGCCAGTGTTTCTCAACCATGGCCGCTTTAAAAGGGGTGGACTTCCGCTCCCAGAATTCCCCAGCCAGCCTGCTCTAAGAGGTGTGGACTTCGGCTCCCAGAATTCCCCAGCCAGCATGCTAGGGAATCAAGCTCTTTATTCATGAGTAAATGAAATAAAGTTTAATTCTCAAGTGTTTTTTTCCTTTGCTTTGCTCCCTGCTTTCTTTTTTTCCCTTCTGTCTGTGGATGCGGTTGTGGTGTTGTAAAAAGCAAAGGCAAACAGAATCAATGGGATTCTCCCTTTCAGGCGTTTCTGGTGTACGCAGCAGCCGTCTACGCCAACATGGGCAACTATAAATCCTTTGGCGACACCAAATTCGTCCCCAGCCTTCCCAAGGTGAGTGCCGGGAGAAGGACTTGCGGCCGGACCAGCCTTTTATCTTCTGCCCTCCAGCCAATTGGAAAGCGCCTTTGGGCTCATTGGCCAAGATGTCGACAGAGGAGGCGGAGTCTCCGCTGTGGCCCCACCCACTGTGTTCTTGGTGCCCGTGGGCATTTTATTTTGATTTTTTTTTTCGTTTTTATTTTGATTTGTGTTTTTTCCCCCATTTTTCTAGGAGAAACTGAAGCAGCTGGTGTGGGCAAGCCAGGCGTTTTTACAAAACCCAGAAGAGATGGCAGCTTTGTGGGAGAGCTGCGGGAAGCTCATGTTCTCCCTGGAACCCCTTCAGAGGCATTTAGGGCTCAGTGGTGAGGTATTGTCCTTGTGCCCACCTCAGACCCATTTGTAAGGGGAATCAGCCATTTGGGCTGTGGGATAGGGCTCCGATGTCCAAGCCTAGAGCTATCGGGGTACCTCTCCCTTTCTTCCTTGTCTTTAGGGGGTGTCCACATACTTCTCTGCAAATTGTTCCATGGAAGATGCAAAGCTGGCTCAGAAATTCCTGGATTCTCAGGTGCCGTCGGAATTCTCTTGCTCTGGGTTAGACTGTAACGTTTTGGGGGGAGGGCAGAACCACTGAATTCATTACAGGAGAGGATCAGTGGATTGGGGCCAGCCTCCTCCAATCTGGGTGCCCTCCGATACGTGTGGACTTCAACTCCCAGAATCCCCCAGCCAGGAAGACCGTTGCTGAGAATTGTGGGAGCTGATAGTTGCCTTCCAGTGATATGGACTTCATCCCCCAGAATTCCCCAGCCAGTTTGGCCATGGCTGAGAATTCTGGGAATTGATGTCCTAACTGGAGAAAGCTGGGTCAGGAGATACAACCGTGTCACTCGATGTCTTCTGTCTTGGAGGGCGGACTTGGCAGTTAGATGTAACAAGGTTAAGGCTGGCACTTAATGGCTGCATTTAGACAATATGTTCAACTTTGACACAGTGTTAAATCATTACCAAACCCAGTAACTAGTAAGACCCAACACCCCCTTAATCAAGGTTAACACTAACCAAGTTCATTGTGTCGTGTAAGTTGGTTTGCTCCATCTGTATAAATATGGATACATCTAGATTAATTGCCTTGGAAAGCCACCGTGGTATGGTGGTTAAGGTATTGGGCTAGGAGTGGGGAGACCCAGATTCTAATCCATCCTCAGCCATGAAAAATTTCTGGGTGAGTTTGGGCCAGTCCCCCCTCTTTCAACCCAACATACCTCACAGGGTTATTGTAGAGAAAAATAAGAGGGAAGGTTTGCAATCAACATTGGATGAACGGATGGACGGACGGACGGATGGATCAGGGCTAGAATTCCAGGCCCCAGAATCTCCAGTTGAGAAAACTTTGTAGACCTCACAACAGGGCTGTGGAGTCAGCACATAAAACCTCCGACTCCGACTCCTTTATTCACGGTACCTCCGACTCCTTTAATTATATATCAATATAGGAAATAAATTATAAATATACTAATGCTATATTTCCTATATTCCCTGCAAGCGTGCAACCTACAAGGCATTAAAATTAAAATATATCCTGAAAACAACAGATTAATCTATGAAATAGGAAATGTTAACATAATATTGATACGATATGCAATTTAAATTTATTAGGAGTCAGAGCTGGTACACTATGACCAACTCCGACTTCAGGAACCCAAGAATGGCTTCCAATTCCTCGACTCCGACTCCACAGCCCTGCCTCGCAAGGTTGCTGTGTAGCAGCCAGAGCAAACGGTGTTGAACTCAATGGGCCGATGTGTTCCAACCTGGTGGACGACTGAAACCCTTCCTAATTTTTCCTAGATGTCTTTCCAACGCCTTTTCTTTCTTCTGTAGAACCTCAGCGCGTACAACACCAGGCTTTTTAAGACAGAGGAAGGAGAGAAAACCAACTACCAAGTTCGTTTGGCTTCGGTGCTTCTCGATGGTAATGGTTGGAACATTCTCCCCCCTGACTTTCTGCTCTCTGTTTCTTAGCACTGGGGCCCAATGATGACCCCCAAACCAAGAACATGAATGGCATTCATTAACATTAAGAACGTGCCCCTAAGACCCAAATATGTGAACCTTTTGGATCATTGATTTATATTTATTTCAAATTTGTCCCCACCCATCTCGCAGCAGAGCGACTCTGGGTGGCTTACAGTAAAAACCGAATCAATATTAATTAAAGTAAAATAAATCTTAATTAAAATACACTACGACAAGAAGATTCCTAGGTAAATACTTCCAAGAGAGCTATGTTAATTAGGTGTTAATAAACTCAGGGAGCGTCTTCAAGGCACCGGCCGCCCTCAGGGTTGATTGTATCTCTTCTCGCCCCACGCAAGTTGGCAGAACCAAGTCTTCAGTTCCCTCCGGAAAAGTAGGTGGGTAGGGGCCCACCTCACCTCCTACTAATTAATGTGTCTTTCATGGTGCCTCTCTCAAAATAAGCTTGTATTTTTATCATGGGCCTACAAACGGCTGTTGGCTTAGTTACCTGGGGTGATTCAGAATGGACTCCAGGTGACCAGATATTTTTTTTGTGTGAGAGTAAAGGGAGAAATCATTTCAGGGCAGAAGGTATGACTACTTTATGAAATCTGGAGTTTATCCCGGCAAGGCCTGGATGGAGGAACCTCAGCTACGTGCTGGAACAAAGGCAGGATATAAATTGTGTAAATAAATAGTATTGTATAAATAAATAATAGAGGAAGCTGGAAGAAAGGAGGTGTAAAATTTATAAATAAATAAAAAATGCATAAATGAGGAGGCTCTTCCATGATAAAATATTTTCAGTCCATCAGCCTAGATGGAGGAGCCTCAATTACATGCTGGAACAAGAACAGGCTATAAATTTTATAATTAATCCAGGATTAATTAGCGATCAGATATCTCTCATTCCTCATCCCCATCTGTTTCCTTACAGCATTTTCATGCTGTTCTTTACCACCCAGAATATAGGGGTGATTGCCAAATCACCAATAAACCCACCCAGTCGTTTTAAAAATATATACGTTACACTTTTGAAATCTCAGAACATTTCATTCTGCCGAAAAGGAGCAAGTGAGGGCCAGCCCTTTGTTAAAAAGCTGAACTTGGTCCCTGTTTTTTCAGAACCCCAACTTGATGAGATGACGGCCAAAAAGAAGTATTTCCAGTTTGATGGCTGCACGTTTACTGTGACCCGAGGCGATTACGCCCCGATTCTGCAGAGGGTTGTGGAAAACCTGCGGAAAGCACAGGTGAGGAGGCGCTGGGATGACCCAAGCATTTGCTTACCCGCTCTCTTCCGAACGAAAGCGCTGGAGCAAAGATTTTGAAGGCTTACATGTCCTTCTGCAACGTTTGAGATCGGCAAAGCAAAAGCAGATTCGTCCCTCGCGCGTTTTAAAAAGTACAAATAGGGCAAGCTGTCCTGTCCTTTTCTTACGTCA